GGCGCCCCGCACCCTCCGCGCCGCCCCACGCGCCCAGACCGCGCCGCGCGCCGCGATCGCGAACGCGGACATCAAATGGCTCGTCGGGGGAGGGGAGTGGGCGAGAGATAGTTGTTAATGCTTAACGTGTTTGTGCCGGTTACACGGCCGCTTTGAAATCCGCCCGGGCAGATCTGCAAGTTATTTGAATGTATTATTCCAGTACCTGTCATTTATCACTTTATTCAACACGTCTCTGCCAACTCAATAGCTTTTGATCTCATTCTGCCTCCATTTCGTAATTTCCGCCCTCTTAAACATATCAAATACTTACTTTAAAAAACAAAAAAGTGAACAATATCGAAACCCACCGAAAGAAATCCACCCAGTCCCGACTCAAGCAGACAGGAAGGATAATTTTCAAAAGGCAAAAAATATAAAAAGCATGTGATGTTCAAGCGGCAACAGCAAGAAAGCAAACGATCTCTCTCTCCCTCCCTCTCTCTCTTCCTCTCTCTGTCTCTCTCTCTCTCTCTCTCACACACACACAGTCACACACACTCACACAGATCGTGAACAAAACCCTTCTCCAACAAGTTATTTGATCTTGACTAAAATCAGCAGTTGGATCCTCTTTGTAAAGCTGACAGCCAAACTCTGACAATGGCAAAATACTCGAGCCCCAGCTAGTGGCGCTACCCCTTTAAAAAAGGAGTCGATCCTGCTCGCCTGCAGAAGTGAATACAGTATTTTCAAGCTTGCCCTGTAATAAGCATTACAGGGAGGGGGGGGCAGAATAATAAAGAAAGAAGAGAGGGAGAGATAGGTTTACCACCTCGCCGTGGTCGCTATTTCTGCCCTGGGGAGTGTCTTCGGGGAGGAAATAAAGTTTAGAGCTGGATAAAAGTTGCCGGCTGGTCCTTTCTTCCCACAGCAGCTGGAGCTCCGCTATGCAAATCGGATCCTTTGGCGTACATCTTACAAAGAAAAAGTCGCCAAGGGACAAAATTCTTGGTTTGCCTTCAAGGTGGAATTGAAAAGCCTTGTAGAAAATGTAAGGTCCGTGCAAGCCGCACGGTGAGCCGACCCACTGCAGGGGGAAAAAAAAGCACCAAATAAATAATGTAGCCATCAGAACACAAACATCTATTCCCAGACACATTTACACACAGACAGCCACACTCTTAATACAGACGAGCCCACAGATAGATCGCTGGGTAGAAAAATCATAGATCCCACAAATTTTCTGCCTCCCTTAAAAGAAAAAACCTCCAGTACCCCCCACCGCCACCCCCCCTCCCTCCCCATCTGAGGCGGTAAAATTACATTATGTATGTATGATCAGTGCGGAGATTTTTTGAACAATAAAAATAATTTGGGGGGATGCAGAGGGTAAAAGTTTGGTGAAAAGTTTGTGGGGGGTGTGGGTGGGTGCAGAGGTGTGGGTGAGCTGGGGGGTTGGGGGGTGCCGGGGGGTGCCGGGAGCGGAGGAGCGGAGGACAGCGAAATACCTGGAGTGAGTTGGGCTCCATCTCGACGTTCTGAATTGATTGAACTCAACATTCTCTCCAAACTTGTTGGCTTGAATGGATTGCATCAGGTCCTGGCAGGGAAAAGCATTCTGTACCTTCAGCCGGCGCAATGTCTCAATATAAAACTGAGCTCTTGCCTCCCCTTCGGCACAAAAATGATTGAAAATATGACCTAATATTTCTCTTATGATTCAATTTTCAGCTCCGGTCACAACAACGTGGGTTTCCTTCCAAACACGGGCTGATCAAATTCGTAATCGGGAGAAAGGCTCCCTCCGATCTCGGCGGGAAACGAATGGATCAAGGCATAGGACAGATACGAAGCTTTGCAAAAATGAAATCCATTCTAGAATTGTGTGAAAAGGTGCTGTTTCTCCTTCTAAATGTCCCTGTCTGAGAGTATCGTCTGATGAGATTTTTAGAGGAGACGAGGACTAGCGAGCTCCTCTGTGTATCTGACAGGACCTACTTGTATATGTCTAATATAAAGAACATTTCCTGCAGAGATTCCGGGGCGCTGCTCCTCTTTCTAATGCTCCTTAGCAGATTTGCTGTTATTAGACATGTAGATTTGTTTGATAGTTAAATTACGCTTCCTCACTGCCATGTTTTCGAGAAGTAATCTGTTAAATTATCTTTTGATGCCTATTTACATGGGAGGGAAAAGTGGGTTATCGATTATATAAACATATAAATATTAATGCATTTGTTCGCTTCGCAAAAAAATACTCAGCAAAAAAGAAGAAGAAGAAGAAGGAGAAGAACAGAAAGACAAGTGAGCAGTGCACACACATCTCGGGATTTTGCAAACAATATTGAACGGACAGCGACTGCATTTAGGGACGGGAACAATAAACGATGCATGATAAATCAATAAATGCGGGCAGCGAGTCTGCTCGGAATATGAATTCAGGCTCCCGGTTCTGCGTGTGCATTCTTTAATTTTGAAGTATGTACACTAGTACGTGTTTACAATGCTGATGGACGCCAAGGGCGCTCTCAAATGATAATGTGTTTATATAACCCAGCGCTACAGGAATAATATACCGACTCCTACCCCACCCCCATCTCCTCCCCCGCCAAAAAAGGGAGGGAGCTTCCTCAATAATAGTTTGAAACTGAAAAAATCCATTTGCAAACTAGTTAAATACAACCAGAAATTAAGCTGTTGAAAACCGGGGGCATGAACCGTAAGACAATAAAGGCTTTAAATGTGTATATTTATTGTTCTGGAGCCCTGGAGCATTGCGAGGTTTGCATGCACGGCTATTATGCAAACACAGAGAAACTTAAGAGCGACAGAACAAGGAACAGGCACAGACTGCAAAGCCCTAGCTCGCTCGCTCCGACCCAGCTGCCGGTCCTCCGCCAGGCTAGATTGCATTTTCGCAGTGTTGATGTAAAATGGTATACTCGCTTCCCCCACGTTCCCCCACCCCTTCCCCGCTCCCCGCCCACTCTTCCAGCACACCCCACCCCCCCGCGCTATTTTATTATATTGGCACCAATCTTTCCAAAGTGGGTCTGGCGTGCTAAAAAAGTAAACATGTACTATATGGGGAATAAGGTCTGTATAGTATGACAGTTGAAACTTGATCTGTGATAAAATTACAGGATGTTGAAATTACTAGTAAGCTATTTTTAACGCTTTCGCAACGTTTCACCTCTAGTCACAGCATCTAGTTGAAACAGGATTACTTTAATGAAAATTATATTCACATGGCTGAAGTTAATACACCCGGCAGAGCACAAATGCCTCATATTCAGTGACTTGAGGTGGAAAGACCCTCTGTGTGTATTTTTATGCCTTTTCATAACGTCTGCGTCCCCTGCAGTAAGAATTAGGGCACTTAACATTATCTAAACCACATTTTTGATTCAGAACATGGGGAAGTAATAAAAGGCAAGATCTATCTCGTTTCTGTACACACACAGATAAACGAAAGAAAATGGCAGATCCTCCAATTACAATAAGTAATAAAAGCCCATGCCACAGAGCCAGTATTCTTGAAAGCTGTGGAAAACTATTTTAATAATTTAAAGTAATATCACAGCTCCGCACCATGGAGGACAACAATGTAACAATTCACAGTCTCCCATCTTTTGCATTAGCCAAATTATGACTTGCACATCACTCTTTAATTATCTTCCTTGAAATTTCATCTGATCTTCCTATTTTATAAACATGGGTTACAAAGAGAAATTACAGCCCTCTTGCTCTCTCTTTTTAACTCTGTGATGCATACTGCAGGCGTTTGATTAGGATAACCCATTTTGTTCATTTTTAACATATGAATGGACTTGACTGAAGGGCATTTTACATATTTAAAAAAATAACATGAAATACGCCTCAGGCTTCTGTTAGTCCCTGTCCTGTTAGTGTAAATATATACATCTAGTTTAAGAAATCCTATATTAACGATGTTGAGTTGCAGTATTTTGACAAGATCTTATTTGAGAAGACTCTGAGTCAGTTTCCTGTATGACCAATGCAGCAGCATTTATGCAGGAAACCTCAACAGAACGCCTGAGGGTATCCCTCGATTGTGCATTAAATCTCTCTTAAAAAATACACAGCTCTTTACAGCATCTAAGCAACTTCTGCTGTCTTTGGTGCTGTAAGTCTTTAAGTGTCTGTAACTGACTTGGTTTAATTACAAACCCTGTTTCTATGTCTCTTCAAGATAGGGACTCACTGGGCTGCATGCTCCTGATCTCTCTGATAAGATTCTTGAGATGTTAACAATCACAGGGACCTAGGTCTGAATATTTTTGAATATCTACATTCTTATAATCAGATGAAAGCTCAGTTTCAAAACTGAGTCACAGGGGTCACTTTTCCCTCTTTTTACAGCACCATGAGCACCACTCCCATAAATATAATAAATATAGTAAATCAAACCTCACTTCAGTACTGTGAATGGCTTTAAAAAAAAATTACAGATCACAATAATGGTGCCCCCCCCCCGCAAAAAAAAAAAAAAAAACCTCTGTATTTTACCTCCTTTAATGTGATGCTTGATCGGCACCTGTAAATTATCTGTGTAGCAAATATCCATACAAAGAAAGTTTCAATTAAGATAAGGAGATTGTATTGAAACAGTTCTTTGAAGTAATGTAGTTAATAGCCTGTTTGATTTCTGCTTGTGAGAGAGTAATAACGTGGATTCGAGGCTCCATCAATCACAGAGCAGATGTAAGACTTGAGACATCGACACCCAGGGGAATAGAGGCAAACTCCTGCAGTGCAGGGTCCCTGGGCTAATGTAAAGTAAATACTCATAAACAGATTGAATGTTGTAAGAAGACAATCCATTCAGGACAGTTATAATCACGAAAGCAACTGCTTTATTTATCTATAAAAAAGCTTGTAGCTGGGACTCTCTGTGTATAAAAAAGGTGGTGGTGGGGAAGTAGTGTATGTTTATATGATCTACTATTTCTGGGCTTTTTTGGTACTGAGACACACATCTACACTCCTTCTGCTTTATTAGCCCCCAATTCCAGCTCTCTGTTTGAGGTTATTTGATATATTTAAAAGGTAAAAGATTAAAAATTATTCTCCCCCCTCAAGGGAGGGGGAGGAGGCAGAGACACATTATTCAATGCCTGTGAATCATTTCATAAAGGATCAAGAGGATTAAGTTAGTTGCAAAAACCAGCAATGACATAATTAGGCAGCTTGGACTATAATAAACAGGATCATAAAAAAATAAGTACAGTTTGAGGAAAGAAAGCAACCATTTCTAAAATGCAAATATCTCTGTACACCCCTGGGCTTCCCCTCCCCCCAATTGCAAAAGAAAACTGAAGCATTTTTGACCTTGGCTACAATAATATTTCATGTTTTAGCACTTTAGTCAGCATTTTATCTACTAATTGCTACACACTACCGCATGTGGCTCGAATCTGCCAGTGCAGCTTTCTTTCATTGGTGAGGAATTGGTTGATAAAGACCGGGAGTTCAACCTGGCTGCTTCTTTCACCCTCCCCCTCAGAGCCCCCTCCCAGCCTTGTTTTTTGCTTTTTGCAGGTGGAAGTCGCTAATTTGTCCAGAAAATATCCCACAGAACACAACGAGGACTGTGAAAGGTTCCCTCCTGCCCTTCCACCGGAGCAGGCTCTCGGCGGGTCGCGAAGCAAAGGGAGGGGAGGCGGCGGCGGGGAGTGAGGGGGGGCAAAGCGGGAGGGGGCCTTGGGTCCCGGCCTGAGGGGGGACCTGGAGCTAGGTGCTTTTGGATCCTGGACCATGGCCAGTCTGTCGCTGGGCGGAAGTCCCAGGGGCTCTGCGCTTCCCACCTGGGGACCTTGAGTTAGGGACGCTCACACCTCTCACTTGGTCACGAGTGGGGTTTGAGGCGGTAGCCTTACAGTGCAGGGCTGAGTCCTGGACTGACAAGCAGCACCGTCTGGGGTCAGCCACCGCCGGGCTCCAGCCCCCTCCGAGCTGGCGCCATCGCGAGCGGTGGGATGGGTGACCGTATTAATAAGGCGGCCTGCACCAGAGCTGGCTCGCCAAGCCAGCGCAACAAGTCTATTGGCTTGAAGGAGGACACACCGGGTTATACGGGTCATTGCTTTCTAAGAGACATCTAGTGGTCAAAGGTTGAGCTACACCTTCAATTTGGGGGTCCTATCTGTCGCGGGTCTGCGGGCTGTCATGGGGGTGGGACTGTAGCTCACGTCCGGGCAGGAAAGGCTGGTAGCTTCAGAAGGGCGCAACGAGGATGGTTTCGCATGGATTTGGAGCAAGGCCCAAGAGGGACGAGGGGAGCTTGGAGAAAGGGACCTCCCGGGAAGGGGCCATGTGATGTCCTTGTGGGCACCGGAAGCCTCAAATTCGCCCGTCCTCAGCACAGATGGAAACGTCTATCTTATCTTGATTTCCCTCTCCGGTCTGAGATTAACCAAGTATTTTCAGGCGAGCGGGATTATATTTGCCCAAGTCATTTTCAGTTAGAACAGCAATGGTGAATCTGTTTATTTTTTCCGTTTGTCTGTAAATTAAACCTGTCTTGCTCCTTCACTCCTGACGTAGACACACCGAAGCACCCCTTAATTTTAGCAGCCCATTGTCTCTAAATGCCTTTGACATGTATGACTAACTTAGCTTAGGAGTACAGTAACTAAGCTTCTCTTTAAAA